GCAAATGTTGCCAAATGGACTCGACGAGTGGATTTATTTCGCAAAGATTACATCATCATTCCAATCAATGAGGCGTAAGTAACTGACACGATATGTTGTCTGATAATAAAAATTTTTAAAATTGCGAAATGACATTTAAAAGAGTAATCTCTGTGATCACACAGGTTTCTTAAACCACTAATCTAAACCCGGATTTTCCCGGTGGTGAAGCTAAAAAGAGACTGGTTGCTTGCATCCGGTAGAATGCTGACAGGATACAACTCAAACTAGAAACTTTAAAGCAAAGCCATTTAAACTGATCCCCGGTACTTTTCAAAGATGACCGATCTCATTGCATGTGAGTCGTTGAGCCGATTGATACCAATCCTCAGGTACTCACCGTTGCATTGTGTTTAATGGACCCCGAGATCAAGGTTGAGATCGTGTATCAACTGATTTATCTTCAACTTAATCGCCGATCCAGATTACGGGCCTTTACCTATCCTTTTGCGTATATTCATTTTGAAGCATCAGTGGTCAGACCAGACAGGTATAGAGACTGGTCCTCATTGTCTCCACTCGCTGTTCCAGAACGAGTTGCTAAAAGTGCATCACTGTACCATCAAACTTAGTAGTTACCGTATGTTAATCTTTATTGGATCGAGACTCACCAATAGAAGTTATGTTGCGCTTTGTCCGCCGGGAAGCGTACTTCACTCTCGTCCGGAGGCCGTTTGCCAAGTTACCGAAAAAAACGAAACATGAAGCAAATATTATGAGTGGTTTCAGTGCGTGCACGTACTCACTCGCGCTTGTCCCAACGTGTTTTCTACCAGTGAATCCGAATCACTTTAACTGCATATGGTTACATGTTTACTCTCCGTTTTCACCTGTAAGCGTTGGATGTAGTTACGTTAGAAAAAGATCCGATTGCAAAGCTGAGATTGAATAGACTCACCGTATTGGAGAATGGGTTTTGAACACCCCTCGCCCATAGGTGATCATCCAGTATGTACACTGCGTTTAATAGATTGATCTTTTGTTAGCCATTTTAGTTCCCCCTTCACAGTGAACTTTTATACCTTTTTTCTCACCGTTTCTACTTGACTTCACTCGGGAATCGACGGGGCTTGTTATACACTGATGATGTGATGGAAAGTTACATTTAGAGCGATGGATCTGTGTTTACCCCTGCTCAGTCAAACTCATTCAAATGTTGGATTGAGTTGCATCATCAGGGTGCTGTTCCAATGTAACGCGATCCCCCTTCTCACTCTGCATCTTTGGTCACAATTCCGGCTTAGTTCGGCTTTCTCGATAAATGACTAATTTTCATCTACTTCCGATAGTTAGCTCTTTGACATTTTAACGTTTGATGATCATCGTGCACACAGGCTGTTGTTAATGGGTGTTTTATTATTGTATTCCGACAAAATGTATGGAGCTACTTTATTAACCATACATGCGTGTAGATTTTAATTTTCTGTAACTATCCCCTGCTTAAGGATTTCTCTAACAGCAGCTATCCATGCACGCCGATCCGCATCCACTTTTACGAAGTATATCTACGTTTGTGGTTCCACTGATGCCAGTGCTAAATAGATCTCAGGCCCCGGTTCTCCATGTTGATCGTTTTGTTTGAATGCCCAAGGGGCGGAGATTTGTTTGGAGACTGCATCTCGAAAGTTCACCTCCTAATCACCGGGAGCATAACCAAGCCACTAGAGGATACAGCTTTGGAGAAACGATGATAGTATCTCTATCGTTTCCCTACTGCTTTCTTAAGTTTCAGCTATTTTGAAATCACCCAAATGATAAAGCTGCTTGACTCATTCTGCTCTGTTTGTTTAATTGAACACGTGATTCAAACTTCGCTCGTCATTTATCATTCACTGCAAATTGGGTAGATCCACTTACTACGGAAGGTTAGAGAGCTTCCCCGGTCAATGCTGTATACGTAGACAATTAGGGAAGGTTTACGGATAATCCATGGGACAGACGTTTACCAAAACAAATACCAGTAGGCTTGACCAGACACCTGTCGGTTTACACTAGTGTGATGTCCTACCGATTCCACCCAGTCATCACACGTCTGTGTCCGAACTACCTTGATCTATTCTTATTTTTTTCATTTCACTTCCTTTTATTAAATAAACAAAGATAATTTTAAGGAAGTGGAAGCGGCCTATCAACAAAATACAGAGAGCGAATGGGGAGTTAGGTGATGGTGATGGGATTCCAACACACGTCCTTCGGGGTGATAATTTGGTGACGTTACCACCGGGCCACCNAACGTACCTTGGACGACAAAAATGGAAAAAAATCTTTAGACCACAATCCAGCGGGAACCCAATTAAGCAGTATCACTACAGTGTTTCGTTTGTATAATCGATGAGTTTACTCATGATATTTATTGAACAACGTTTGTCGATTTGTTTTCACCATCCTTGTGCTTTCATCTCAGATCTCACTGGTTCCTTGGCCTCGTCTGCTATCCATGGATGGCAGGCATGGTCAGCTATACAGCCCTGTATCAGGCGGCCGCCTTTGATATGTGCCAACTCACTGAGCAATTTTCCAATATAGACAGTTTAGTTGGGCACCTGAACGTGGACGATCGAATCATCTGCGATGCTCCTCTCGAACGACTGCCGGGTGATACAGTGGTCAGTTTCAAAGAATGTTTCTTAATTTGTCTGTTTTTGGTCCATCAGTGGTTTTTGACAGATGAACTTAACATCGCACAAATCTGCTTACTCAGTTGTTAGTACGATATACGCATGTAAAAACCACCCTTATACACTGTAACAGAAAAAGTCCTTTGATATGTACCCAAGAACGTTCTGATTGTCCTGGAAATCCTATTTACGTAGACCTATCATATTGCATTCTTCATGCTCCAGCCTCTGAGGAGCGTAGAGTAGTGCATGGCTTCTCGTGTATGTCACCGAATCAATGAAAGTCCATCCGTGAGGTTTGTTAACTGTAGCGATTACATCATCAGTGCATCTCTTCCTTCGTTTAGCAGTCAAACGCTATTCTCGTAAAACCAGAGCAATCGTAGTAACTGGTGACAGGTCGGACTCATACACGTCCCAATCTTGTCATTGGACATCAGAGCCTGCATTGTAAGGTGCCTTATCGTGTGAAGAGGAGCCCACATTCTCGAACTCCAACGCACCAGTCCGCGATTGCTTACTTGTGGTTATCTATTCCCAGGTGAATGGTCTATAGAGGTTGGAGACTCGGAAGTTGTACAATACGCATGTCAGTCTGCATGCGTCTTGCGTTGCTCTCAGTCCGGTGTTATACCAAAGTTGGGTACTGGTGGCGCAATGGTATAGTCGCTGTCATCGGCTTGCTTTAGACCCTGTAGTTCGAGGCTCGAACCTCTCCANACGGCTTCGCTGCCCTCCGGCCCAGTATCACCCCTAACCTAGCGGGGCCACTCCAAGTCCTGGGGCTTAGGCTACCGGTTTCCATCACTGAAGAGCAGGTTTTCGCGACTATGGGGTTTACGCCGTCTACTATTTATCACACAAGGGTGTGTAATACAAAAGCTGAATGCTGCACACATGGTGGAATTCACCCCCAATAATTCATTCAGTGGATCCTGCGAGCTTTCCTCGTTGTCTGTGCTCCGTTAAATGGGATGTGCACTAACGTCTCAAGCAGGCAAACACCCAAAACAAATTTCCTGTAGGTGTGATAGCAATTCGACCGTCAACATATGCATGTATATTCCAATAGCGCTATCTATCGGTTTCCTCTCTTACTTCCCTTGTCCCAGTCAGAGTCAGAGTGAAATGAGATCAACCATGTCACGGCAAAACGAGCATTAAAAACATCGCCACAGTGCTACTCGAACTATTCCGAAAATGCACAGCTACTTCTCAGTAGTGGTTCGGGATCAGTGATATTTGTTTGCACTGATCATCCATCAGACTCCATCTTCACTCACACAATCCTCGCTTCATCCAGATAACCCTATGCCCGGGTCACTCTAGACTCGAGCCTTACTATCTAATCAGCAGTGCATATTCCTCGTCCTGGAGGATGTGCGTGCTACCGCAGTGCCAAACAATTCACACACGGGGTAACTAGAGTCACCAATTCAAGTATGTTCGCTTCAATGATAGTCAGTTCATTTTGGCCCAGTGATAACGCGCTTTCTATCCAATGGGTCTGGGGTTCAAACCCCTGATGGCCGATGAAAATGAACTACTGATGAGTACTAACGAGAGTTATGTTTGGGTCGAGCGCGTCTCGTGTTTTATGTTTAGCTGGGTGAACTGAGGATTTTGCGCGAAGATGGGCAGTCCAAATAAGTGTCCCGAAAATTTTGGAATGTGTCTACATCTTCATCTGACGACGGGAAGAATTTAAGTTTGACTATCTTCGTACAAAATGGTTCACTCGCTAGAAAAAACCAACCTCAATGTGAGAAAGAGAATATGTAGGGAATAAATTTATCACATAACGCTCATTTTGACCAGCCAAAAAGGCTTGCCACTTGCTCTTGTCTTCGCGCAGCACTATACTATCTTGCTTCATACTGACTGAAACCACCACAAAGAGGCGTGAATTCGTCGTTCCCACCGAGACGACGCATATATATACACTCTTACTTTACAAAGAGATATCATTGTACTCATTGACTTACGGCATACTGTCTCTGCTTTCACATTTTCCCGGGGTGGAGTCCAAATGATTAACTGGTTAGTTGGAAACATTAAAGCGCATGGCAGCAAACCGACACCAGTATTGTTCCTGTCGTCAGTCCTTATCAGGCCGGAATGTTTGANCACAGGTACCCTGTGTACTGACCATAGTGATTAACTTTCGTTTCCCACTCTTAAAACCGGGCCCATTTTTTGACCGCCATTCACGTTCTCACTTCGTATATATTGCAGCGATCAGAAAAGTTCACTTCACTGTATTTTGCTTTACGATCATGATGATGACTTCCAAATTTTTCGCGTACTCGTTTTTGCCCGTGATCACAAAAATATTACCAGATTGCTTTATATGCTCTTGTTTAATTCCCTGCGAATTCGCAGAAACTAGGGTCTGTAGATTGGTGTTCTTTGTGTGTTCTCACCCATCGAGATTTCGTTAGTCTCCCATATTCTTGAAAAATTTGTTCGTAGGTTAACAAGAAGCACCGGATCCTGCAGTGCGTGCTATTTTTGTTTCCCCGTCAGGACTCGAACCGTAAGACTTGGGAATGGGAACCCCAATTCTTACCTCTGAACTGCGCTGTTGACGGTCCGAATCTTGAGCAAATAGTTGCACATAACGATTAATGTTCTTGATAATTCTGCGGAGTGTCGTTCTTTGACAAATGAAATTCTCAACCGCTGCTAGCAAAATGAGACCATATTTCTAAATCAGCGTTATGAACTAGTATTCAAACTAACTTCCTGTTCACATTTCTCTTTTTGACATACGCACAGCAGAAATTCAGTCATTACTTCCGCCGCGAATTTAACCTCGGGCGATTTCACATCGTGTTACTCGATTGTAGGTCGCAACTTTCAATTTTAATATGCCTGCGTCCTGAGCGGTCACTTCGGTTTTTTATCTCATTTGCATTAATACTCTACTTTTATGGTTTCTTTATTGCACAGGGTGCTGCATTCGATCGATGGCGTCGTCAACGTTTGATTTGGCTTCGCAGTCGAGGAATCAACGCCATGTGAGTACTATTTCTCACCTGTCTGTTTTTTTCTACCAAGGCTGAAATAATTGTTTCTATTCTCCGAGTCATCAATGTCAGATTTTTTCAAGATACTCTGTAATTTGCACAGCGTACCAAATTTTTTTCACGTTTTTGCTTCGTTCTTCCCTCCGGCTGTATTTCAATTCACAATGGTCCCCCGCCCGCAGCAACTTGGATAACGAATTCACCAAACCGAACACGAAATGTTTTCTGATTAAACTTGATATTAGTATGCACAACAGATTTTATAACCTGTTTTTGCTGATAAATTCGTCGTGTAAATGAGGCGTGAGCTGAAAAGCTGGAAAGCACTTGTTAGTTGTTTCGACCTGGTTGGGTCTTATCAGTAGTGCGAATCCATCGACCCAACTGGGGATCGAACCCGGGACCTCACAGGTAGAACGCAAGCATATTACCCACTCAAACACCGGGAAGCTGGTCAGCTGATCTATGCGAGATTGTTGCGAGTATCGGTCCTCGCTCACGGGCTGTACTATATCGTGTAAATTCTCAATGTGAAACGGTCTGATCAGCTTCCCAGTGTCCGAGTGGGTAGCATGCTTGCGTTCTGCCCATGAGGTCTCGGGTTCGATCCCCAGTTGGGTCGATGCATTCGCACTGCTGATGAGACCCAACCAGGTCGAAAAAGCTGTCCAGTGCTTCCCAGCTTTTCAGCTCACGACGAATTCATCATCAAAACAAATCAAATCCTCCATTTATCCCAAGATTTTATAATCATAAATTTTACTTCATTTATTTGGTTTGTCGCTAATGTACATTTAGTATTCAGGAAGTTTTTTTACCGTTATTCAAAAGCGATTGATCAACTACTAGTAAAGTAGGTTAGCGGTAACGGGGTTCAAACACACTTTCTTTACTGTGCCTGGCTCCTTGGAGCCGATAAACCAGCTCCGTGAATGTCTGGTCGCGGCTACCCACGTCCGATGATTGCGGCTGGGTCCTCGCAGATGTTGATCCTATTGGTTTTCTGCCGTCGAGTGCCGTACACCATCCGAAGCCCAAGTTGGTCTACGTCTTCCAATAAAGTGTTCGGCCAGGTTTTCATTTGTCCTTGTCGGTGGTACCTGTTTGAGCAATAATACGATGATATAACAGTGTTTGTCAAAGCGAGTTGCAAGGCACACTTAGCCACAATAAAATGGAGGTTGTAGTGAGTTTACTATCAAACGGAGGTGGGTGATAAATATGGCGTAAGTCTGTGTTATTAGATCAAGCGTACTCTAGGAGTTAACCATTAACGTGCTATTATTTTATAAAAAGAACGCGCCGGTACTTTCCTGCTTCAAACTGTTTATCACGCCTTCATTCCCATCCGACCGTATGATTAGACCCTCTAGAAACTGCTCCCTAGCAGTCACATCCAGTTGTGAAATTTTATCATTCAGAATCGTCATTTTATATTTCCCAACCCATCCCGTTTAGAATGATCTGCTCGTAACTATGCCATAGTCTGCCCGATGACTGATATAATCTACAAAATTCATCCTAGTATTGGTCATCTATCGATTTGGGGCTCAAGCTCCTAAAAATAGGAACCGATTCTCACTCATAGACACGGAGTAGGCCAAACATGCCAAATGATCGCAACCATTTGAAACGGTTTCATTGGAGCATTTATTAATTACAATACTCTTATTTTTTTTAAACACACCGTTGGCTTTCTACTCCCCTACCCGACCTGCAAATTGTTTGAAAGATTTGTTTAAACACCCAAATTCAGTTTCTGTTCAGTTTGTACAACCATAAACCATACACTTTCGTGTGCTGGTTTTGGTTGCGCATTTGAAGGAAGGGGGAAGAGAAACATAGGAAGATTGAAAGTAGAGTTGAAGAAAACATGGAGAATTTCAGTAAACTAATGTTGCAAAGAAATTGAGTAGGAGCACGAGCGCCACCGTTTACGACACTTAGCTATATCACTCAGTGTTGCTAGCCATTGATTACAAAGATCCCGAGGTTCCTATCCAGAGAGTCCAACGTGATCTGTATGACCGATTCTGCTGGCTCTGGTTTTCATATCCTCATGTCAAGTCTTATTTGGACCACCTACCCGATAGAACTCAGAATAGCGTATCTTTTGTCGACCATACCGCGTTTGTCACAAAATGTGAGTGGATCAACAAACTACCCATTTTTGACATCGTTTAACTCACATCATGATGATTGTTGCGTTTGCAAACGGAACCAGTATTCTGAGTGATCATTGCTTCCGATACTGTTGGACACAGTGGGTGATTTGTGAGTATAGTTTGTGGCCAGAGTTTCTTCGGTCTATCTGTCGCTTGATATTCATCCCCTGTTGAGTAAACAACTCACCGCACAGGTTTAAACCTATTATACCGAAGTGAGTTCGCGATGGCATTCCTCACATCTCTTACCGTTGTACTCTTGTGTTTCTTTTGTTTTGTCCAATCCCACAGGCCTTGTATACTACTGTTTGATTCGCTACCATGCCAAACCCGCGTGAGCAATCTCCATGTAATTCGCGAGTAAGTCTATTATGGAATCCTGTTTACTATTTCCAGATAAATGTTTGCGATAACATGCACAACCACAATCCGCTTTGGGTGCTTTGACGCCCGACGTGTAACTTTGATTAATTATACCTTGTTTACGTAGTGGTGATACGTATTATGCCCAGGAACAAATCATAGATTCACTCCTTTGTCACAACGATTCCTGTACCATGATTTGACACGCTCTCAGAACTCAGACAAGTATACAATGTACCGTTGATCGTAATATATTTTCCCTGATTTTAACTCAAACACTCACGCTTTTCTGTTCTTGCTCTTTTCCACGCATAGCTATCTCCAAGCTGAATGGGATACCCGACGTTCCGGAGAAGATGGTGCTCTTTCTTTTAACAGAGACACAATTCGCGGATTTAGCCCCCGTGTCCCCAGTCAAAGTAATCTAGTTGATTGTGGTATTTATCTGCTGCATTACGTGGAAATGTTCTTCAAGGTAAGCAGAAGAGTGTGCTATTTCCAAAGATTTCCCGAGAAGTGGAGTTTCCATTGTACGTTGGTTGGTGTTGGCGCAGTGGCGTGCTTTGGACCCTACGGTCCGAGGTTTGAGCCCCGCCACCCGACTTTGGTGGTAGGCAGCTTTGCTGTCGTCCGGTTCAATACCACGCCTAAATTATCGGGGCCTTGCGTGGTTCGCCACTCCAAGTCCCGGGGCTTAGGGAACCGGTTTCCATGACGGAGCAGCAGGTCCTCGTGACTATGGGGTTCGCCCCGTCTACTGTTCACCACATAACTGTGTGTAGTAAAAAAAACGTGTGTCAGATCTCAAAAACTGATGATTAACTGTCCTACAATTGAAACGGTCCTGTCCGCCACCCTGCTCTCTGTGATGATCAACCGTATCACTTCCTCGAACACATTTATTTTTATTGGTGACCTCACTTTCCACGGTTTTACAGCCCAACGTACAACTCTTCAATGGTATACCACAAGCAAAAATGTTTATAACGTCAAAATTATCTCCCTGTAAGCATGAATGTGGTTGTCGAAATCCACTTCTTCATTAAATATTGCGTAGCGAGCACCGGAGAGTTGTATCGTCATACTTCGGGTTAGGGCCTATAGCCAACTCTCACCACGGTTTTCCGTGGCAACGAAGCTGCCCTATATCCCCATTCCTTTTCAACTTTGTTCTGCAGAATATGTTGTCCGATTGAGAAAACGGTGGATTAGAACCCACCCCAGGAAACAGTCCTTGACGTAAAATATACCGATCGTATCGCCCCGCTGGGTAATGATACACAGGCAATCTAACTTCTTATAAAACGGCTGGTGATCGACTTATGTGCTTTACACCCTGGAGGTCGCATTGGTAAAATCTGTCAAGTCCTTATAGAACAGTTGGGTTATTAGGCTAACTGACCACAAAGTGGCCTAACCACCAAATTCACAACCACAGTCGAGTAAGGATGACAGTTCTACAAGCTCATCCGATTGTGATTAAATCAAACTATCTGTCAAAGCCTTGATGACTGTGATATCGGTATCCCTGTGACAGACTCTGAACCTTAAGGCTCGAACACTGCCACCNTAGGCAGCTACTCTCCACCGTTCTGCTCAATACTACACATATCCAACTGGGATCTTATATGGTTTACCGATTCCTGTCTCATCGCTTAGGGTCCGGTTACCATAAATGAACAATAAATCCCCGTGACTACCGGTTTATGTTCATCACTAATGTGTAGTAAAAAAAGTGCTACTGCTATATCATATCACACAGCTTGTCTTTGCTGTCTACAGTCATTTGTAGACCGTTAGATCCTTCAATTCACAATGCTGCATGGGTGTGACTGAAAGAGTGCTAGCTTAAACCAATAACTATATAGACTGTGGTGACTTGTTTTGACACCGAAAACAAGTTTTTCGCGTTTTTATCTAACCATCGCTTCTGTTTACTCTGCTTTCCAGCAACCGGTGAAAAGTTACACAAAGGATTATTTCCAGCATGAAATGGCTAGCTGGTTTTCTGAGGCCACTGTGGGCAAAAAACGCATGGAAATCTACAATGTGATCACACAGTTACACGAACGTTCCCAGTCGACCCGCCCGTCAGAGTCAACTGCGTCCTCACTGTTGTCGTGAGTGTGATCGAATCACACAATGTTGGCCCTCAACAAACCGCCAAGTGTTTTTCTCATTCGGCGTTGTTTTTTTGTTTGACTCCCGTCTCTCTTGGACCCGGATTTTGTACATAGTTTTGGTCAAGAGAGCGAGAAGGAGAGGGAGAGATCGTGTGTGTGTTGTTCGGTCGTTCCACAGTTGTGCAGATGTTCCAGTTCAGTTGACACAACCCAGTACCTATGCATGAGATATGAAAAGCGTCGGTTTTCTCGTGTGGCTCCAACTGCCGCACTCCGTCTCCTCTAATACTTTTTCGCACAATCATTGACATTGATATTGCATCTGGCATCTTATTCAAATGTCTCTTTCTGATCATCTAACGTACTTTCCCTTACTCAATCCTTCTCTTTGGTCGTACCACTGTCATATCTGATGTGTCTAATCTGCTGTCTACTAGTACCACTTGGTCCATCTAGCTGAATCTGGCGCACATATCCCAAACGAGTCTATCTTATACCGGAAAGATTTGTCCTGTCAAGCACCTCCCGGTCGAACCGTGATGTGATCCATCATTGTCGGGACCGTTGTCGGACACAAACAAGCACGCCCAAACTGGATTGTGGAGTACCGGAACTCCAGGTGAATTCTCGGCTGTCCAATCATCCCAACCCTGTTCTCTTCGGTCCTCTTTTGTTGTGTCAGCCGCATTTGCACCATTGCCTGATGGAACCTGATAATAATACACTGATCTCCCTTTTCCACATTGTCAATCTGTATTTCTAACCGGCGGGGTTTGACTCGGCTCCATCCCTAACCAGTTCGATCTTCTCATTTTGTGTTGGTCAAAATCATTTGTCAAAGGAACTGGTGATCTGCGTATGCCCATTCCGGTCAGGAGAGGTTGGTGCTCAGCGTTCACCCTTTTCCTGTTGATTGTCCAGCCTGACGTGCTATCATCGAACGACGAAACACAACAAGCCGACCAACATTCGCTTTCAGGCTCACAGCACTTCTAAAATGTCAAAGGGGACATTCGTCGTGTATATGTCAAATGAAGCTAGGAAGCACTGGACAGCTGTTTCGACCTGGTTGGGTCCTATTAGCAGTGCGAATGCATCGAACCCGAGACCTCATGGGCAGAACGCAAGCATGCTACCCACTCGGCTACTGGGCAGCTTATCAGACCGTTTTTCATTTTCAATCTACACGACTATTATTATTTCCATTAGCACATTTACGAGCTTGTTGCAGGCCACAGACCTCGCTCATCTCAGCACTAGCCTCCGGGGTTATGATTCGGTTGGAAACAATCACAATCTGACTACTTATTTCATTTGAGTAATGGAGGTATTGATTCGATTTCAAAGGAAAAATTCTAAAATGAACAGAAATATATGTAAGTTGAGTCTGTTTGTGAGTAATAGAGAACGGAGGTCAGTTTTTCAGCCAGTCTGATTTGTGAACAATAACGAATTTGGCACCACTATTGCCCTTTTCGTTGTTCTACCTTGTTTGTTTGTCTTTTTCTCGGTTCAGTCCGGTATGGACAACGTTAGATATTTTCTCCGTCGAACCTTTGCGTACACTTCTCTATAGTAGCTCTGTCTCATCTGTTGACCTCCAACCCTGAACCAATAACTGTAAACAGTACGGCAGACGACTGTCCCCTATCCGTATCGTATGACTGTTTACCACCAAGGCACCCAAAGTAGACCGTGTTTTGAATCAGTATCCTTCATCCACCATCGTTATTAGTGAATTCCAGTGCGGTTCAGTCAAGCCACCCCGAAGTGAGTGCTGTTAGTCAGATGACAACACACTTTCGTA